TAAAGAGGCTGTTTGCTTCAGGGTTCCAGTTGGCCATTCCTTCCACACAGAGGCTTCTGTCATCACTTCTTGTTTCCAACTGCTACTCTGCATTCTGTGTCTGCTGAGCACACTCAATCATTGTACGGAGTGTTTCTTCGTTTTTGTTCCTAAAACTATTTTTTTCTTCTTCTTCAGACTTGGGATTTCCCTGGAGTGTTTCTTCGTTTTTGTCTTTTTAGTGTTCCTAAAACTATTCTTTTCTTCTTCTTCAGACTTGGGATTTCCCCAAGCATGTTATACTGAGTCCTTTGTGTGACTTACGGCTTGGTTTTGCTATTAGATAGGGCAGTAGTTCCCAACCTTGTGTAACCCAGGTGTTTGTGGACTTCACCACCAGCTATGCCAGCTGGGGTTTCTGGAAGTCAGCCAGAAACCATTGAAGTAGGGTGATATGGCCACTATTTACAGATTGTCTGTAGTGGAACAGTTTCAGGACAGAGATTATATTTGGTCATTTTCCTCAGCCAAGACACTCCGTTTTGTATCAGGTATGTCCACTGTTCGCTCACCTTGCTTTGCAAAGAGTAATATTTCTCAAGGCTCCACAAAATGTTATTTTAAAAACTCCAGTCTGTCAGAATTTACTCCTTTTTTAAAAAAAATAGCAGCTTTCAACAATTTCTTCATGATCTGCTGGTCTCCCCCCCCTTCTCGCTTCATAGTGTGATATTTACTACTGAAACCCTCTTGCATTGTTATATGAAAGATTATCAGTGGCTGGTGTGTGTGTGTGTATCTTTTTGATATCAGTTAATGTTCTCTCTCTCTCTCTCTCTCTCTCTCTCTTTCTCTCTCCATCTATCTTTCTGTCTATCTGTCTCTATCTCTTTGTCTTTCTCTCTCTCAAACACACACAGAGACAGAAAGGAGCATACAGACCATGGCAAAAGTTTTATGGATACTGACTCTTTTCTGGCAAGTATAGATAGAGAAATAACACACTGGCATCAAACCTGCTGGATAGCTCAGTGGTTTCGGTCTCTGCCTCCGAAGTCAGAAGTTGGGAGTTTGGGACTCCTTGACAAGGGCTGGACTCAGTGATCCATAGGATCCCTTCTAGCTTTGCAGTTTTATGTAAGAATTATAAATCTGTATATTTTAGTATAACTATGAATTCATAACAACAAACACTGTACCTGCTCTTTTTTAGTGTGGCATTTTTGTATTTGCTACTTTTACTATAGTAGTAATATTACTGTGGTGCTATATTACAGTAGGGTTGGTACATCATTGATTACTGGATCTAAAAAAAAAATTCTGTACCCATCTCTTGTATGTTTAAGGTGTCTCACAAAAGCATTCTGAAAATAAAGCAGTCAGAAATGGTAGCAAGGAATAAAATGAAAGTGGATCAATAAGTGACAATGTTATTCAGCAACAATAAGATAATACAATGACCTTTCACTTTATAAATATAGTTGTGTTCTCAAATTTCATGTTGGTTCTCAATCTATCATTTTTCTTGGGAAATGTTATGTTGGAAGGAGGAAAAGGGAGTTTTGTATGTCAAATGTTAGCATAGAAAAAATGTGTTATTTTTTTAAAAATGTAAATGATTTTTTTTCCTGATGTAATAAAGCATTAGCAAGTGTACCCATTAGCAAAGGTTTATTATGAAATAGTTCTGGAGGCTTTTGAAAACAGCTGACTGAGCACAGCACTTATTCTGTGTGTATATTCTCGGTGTGCTTTGTAAACAGTAACAAGTAGTTTGACAATACTAGTGTCCATGCAAAAATAATGGTTTGCTGGGTGACTTTCATAATTTGACTACATGAAATGTAAATAAAAGAAGGCTTAAAATACAGTCTTGTACCTGAGATCTACCAGCTGGAAGGTACAGGAAAGAAGAACCTCTCATCTTCAGTGCATATATAGCATCCTGGAGTTCACTAAATCACTACAAGTGTAATCCTGCCATTTTGAAACATTGATTGGAGATAAAATGGTATTTAAGAACCTGCATGGAACTGAGCTGTACTTTGGAGACAGGAAAACTGTTGCATGGAACTGTGCTTTGCAGTCAAGAAGAATTAGTTGCATTTCTGAATAGACACGTGTAGAACTCAGCTGTGCTTTGAATGCTTGATGTGAAGATAACTGATGTGGAATTTGGCCCCACCTGTCTGGCTCTGCCCTGCACTCTTAGTTACATCTACTAACAGAATGCACTCTAAAGACCTCAGATTAGAATTCGAGCCATAGAGGTTGTCCATAAGCACTTTTGCTTTGTGGGATCACACCCCTGCTGCATGGAATAGAACAGTCGTAGTACATGTAACCAAAACAGGAGCCACGTGCTTTGACAAAATGTAATGAAGAATTCATGGAGGGACTGGTAATCCTTTATGTGTAGATTTGCAGAGAGACTGATTTTACATCCCCTGAGGTGAAAGTTGATACCAATACATCTTTTTAAAATGTTTTTTCCTTTGATATCAATACACCTAAAATTTTAGTTAACCATCCTGAAACTTAAGAAAATCTGGGTGATTTTGCTGTTTCATCCTTCACTTCCAAGCTCTGCAGTGCCCGCTCTAATGAGGCGGCCTGTAGGACTCAAAAGCATTCATTTTAAAAGGATATTTTATTTGTCCATGAAAAGTTACCCCGCCCCATTTTTTTGATAGTACATATAAATATGCTCAGAGTCATGACCTGGTTATTCAGGTGGCTCCACTCCCTCTTCCGTCTCATTCTATTACAGATATTTTCTCTGCATCCAGGATTGGGAAATAAATGCTCCAGTTGCTTGTTCCTTCATAGCTTCCCTTGTCTTTCTGTCAGTAGCACTCCCAGAGGTGTAGGATCTATCCCATGCCCCATTTCATGTAGGGTACAATGCAGTCCCATGCCATGATCTGCAACAGTGATCAGGATGCTCCTGGCTGCTTCTCTGTGGGATTACTGCTCTCTTTTCTCTACGTACAGTGCAGTCCCATGCCATGATCTGCAGCAGTGATCAGGATGCTCCTGTGGGATTACTGCTCTCTGTGGGATTACTGCTCTCTTTTCTCTTCACAGGGGACCTGAGGCACCTAAAAACAATTAAAACTGTACAGTGATAACAGGTTAAGAAACTATACAAAACTATATTAAAACACAGTTAAACATTAATCAGATTATAAACAATTTAAAAACTTTTTAAAACATTAACAGTAAGTTTCATAAATGCAGTGTTCTCTAGCCATTGCCCCCCTCAACCTATTGCTCAGACGCCTGCCTGAAAATGAAGGTCTTTCCCTAATGATAGAAGGACAAGAGGGAGTGGGGCAACCTGGCTTTTGCAAGAAGTGAAGATATGCCTACCACAGGCTTGGTGTTATAGGGAATGTTGCTATAAATAATTACTTGGATTTTATGTTCATTCTAAATTTCATGAGCATTGTAATTTCTCTCACTGTCTAAATTCACCAAGTTTACCTTTGTTCTTGGTAGAGTAGGTTATTTCCATTGTAAGTTATCTTACAAACTGAATTGTTTCTTCTATTTTAATGCAATTTTTAATTATCTTTATGTGATAATTCACTTCATGGCTTTCTATTGTCGGTAAAGTCTGCTTCCAGTTTATACTAGTTTAGTAACAGTATCACCAGATATATGGGAGGCTCCCCTCCTTTCACAGAAGAGAGGAGGAAATGCATATGAAGGCAACTGTATGACCTTGGTTATTTGTTTTTGGTTCACCAAGCTAATTTCAAATTCAAACAAGTTCTTAGATAGAAAGAATCTGAGTCTGTAAAGCGAGTCATGTGATGACTGCACCTGTCTTGTTTTTCTTTGGAATATAAATAGATAAATCCTTCCCATAGAAGTGGGTCTGTTTTCCCAAATAGACTAAACATAGGGAAATTGCACCATGTGCTATTGCAGGAAACAGAATTATGATAGATAACTTCCTCCTAAGTATTTTTTAGTACTAGTCAGCTGCATTGTGAATTAACTATTATTTGTTGTAAAGCCATGCCTTTGAATTTTAAACACAGTCTTTGTGATAATTTTGTTCAGTTTATTTTATTGGAAACATAAAATGTGATTCTTACAATAAGCTGGTATTGTTTACATTAGCCCCGATGCAGTCAGAGAAAGCTGGCACAACTTCACAATAGATAGTAGTTAATGTATAGTGCAGCTGACCAGGGCTGAAAAATACAGTAAGTGAGAAACAGTAGGTAGTTGTGGGCATTCTTTTTTAACACACATTCTGTTGCTATTTACTTCAGTCCAATGAGCGATGATGGGGACCTCAGGAAGCATTGTCTGTAGTGAAAAGTTTGTAATGTAGCAATTCTTTTACTGAGATGGTCTGTTTAAGTTGGTGATACAGAATGACTGTTGACTACTGTAGCTAAGAGAGAACTGTGGCTTTGGTGATGAAAAGAACAGCTAGATCCAAGCAGTGATGTGATGTAGAATGAATTTGTAAAGGCATATGTCATTCAAAGAAGCTGATTTTTAATAAAGGTTTTGGCCAGAGCATAAAGAAAAGAATGAAGGAAGTAAAGCATGGGATAAAATTGTGTTAAGATTTATATTTGTACGATTTTATATTAAGCTTCATGGAGCTAATTTTTGCCCTCTTCTGTTTATCAGAACAAGTAGCTTGTTCAAAATAATGACTGTCCACTGTGGAGTTGCTATTAGAAGGATTATACAAAATGTGCTGTGTAATCATTGAAGACTGTGTTCACAGGAACATCTCTGGCTAGTTCAGTAGGATTTAAATAATGCTAGATGTTTGAACTCTACATTAAGAAAATAATGCACATCCATTGCTTAACATGAAAATATATAGTTATGTGATTGTAGATATATCATGTATATAAATTATGTTTTTAAAAAAAAATTGATTGGGGAAATACTCATATTTCTTCAGGCTTGTTGAATCAAGGTATGCATGTTATTGTAGTGTGATCAAATCTGCATATTTCTGTTTTCTTTTGAAACATTTATTACAGGCTGATGCTGATGTCCTTATACAATGTTAGCATCAACGTGAAAGGCTTGAAATACATCAGTGAAAGCACAGGGTTCTTCCCATTACTTTGCTGGCTCCTGAATGGTGAGGCATTTATATATACACTGAAGACATATCACTAGTTCTTAAACTTATTAATGTGTCACTTTTAACTACGATATCACAGTTCATTAAGGCATTATGCTCTAGAGGTTAAGATTATGCAGTTAGCACATCATTACAAACAGAGGTCCCTTAAGAAGTAAAAAATGTGCATGAGTTTTATTTCTGTAATAGAAAGGGGAGTTGAGATTTCTGCTTTAGTTTTAGTAACAAATTTGTTGTCATCATCAGTACCAGTAACAACAGAAATAAATGCTGTTGGTCACTAGTGTACAACAAGTCTAAATATTGCAGCATAGGGCAAACATTTGTATTCATGACTTTTCCATCTGGAAGGCACAGACTGAATTGAAATGTGACAGGCGACAATGGTGTAGGATATACCTTTATAGTTACTTCACATCAGCACTCCCTCTAAGCAGCGCAGGTGCGCAGCACTGTATTGGTGCTGCACACCCACAGTTAGTGTTGCCACTCATTTGGTTCCAGTTGTGTCCGGAACATTATGAGTGCGCAGCAGGGTTTCATTGCCTGACATTGATGGTTTATCTGTTATAAGTAAAGAGACGGAAAGTTTCCTGCCCACTTGGACTGGCACAGTATGTGGTATTTATCAAGGACATGAGAATGGTTCATCCCATGTACAAGAATGAGACCTGCCTCTTCACAGAGACCTTCATTATTCATGGATTTTATTTTCTGTTTTAAATATCAGCAGTAAAAGTGGAAAAATGTCCACCTTAAAGTACTGCTCCAAAGGCCCCCCTTCTAGCTGAGGGCTTTTGAGAGTCATAATTCAAAATTTTAACATTTTCAAGATTTGACTAGTCCTAATTTGTAAAATGAAGTTAAGATTACAGCTAGTTTGATTTGTATCTGAGTAGTTTTCTCCAGAGTCAAGGGTGCATAGCAATTTTTGACATTACTGATCTTGCCTACGAAGACAAGGAATACAAAGAATCAGAAAATATATCAAAATATATTAAAAAAAGATGAATGGCCACTCTAGTTTCCATACATTGTCATCCTTTACATGCTTTTTCAGGACACTTCTTCCCTAACTTATCTGACTCTAACCCACTGCTTCTGTCCCCCCACCCTGTACTCTATTGGTTAAGTATATAGGTTTACATATATAGGTTGTTTGGAAATTGCCACAGCCTGAAAGGGAATGGAGAAATAGAATATGGAGAAATAGAATATAGCATATTGCCCTAATGGAAAAATTAACACAACAGTTCAAATTACTTAGCAACATTCCCAAGATGTCTTTTTCAACATATAGTTTCCTTTTATTTTTTTATGTTAATAAGAATAACAAGACTTATTTTCCATCAACCTTCCATGTCAGTCTTTGCTGCGATATTCTAACCTGATGGCTGTGTTACAGTCAATCATGTTAAATTTAGTAAGTCTGGCCAGGTAAGTCTTACATGATACTGCAGACATGTCATCATGGCCTATCCACAAAATAGCTCTTATTGCTGGTGTGAAATTAAAATGTTCTTGTGCCAGTAAAGAAAAAAAAATGAAAAGCTTGTGGGTTAGTTGGGCTAGAATTTGGTATCCATGACTTGTTAGCATGCCAAATCCTACTCTGATCAAAGAACCTTACAAGCATATGTCAGATGAATTTACACCATATTTGGAGAGTCTATTACAGATTAACTGTTTAGCGCTAAGGCAATATAATTACTTAAGCCCTGCTTTTAGAAAATAATTCATTAGAGAGTGTAGTACTACTGACACATGTGGCTACAGTATCTCTCTGCCTTGTCAATTGTTGTTAGTGGCTGAATGTGAAGTGAAATACTATTGCTGAAGAAAATTCTTGGGAAAGTACTAATACAAGCATTGTTAAAAATGCTTGTATCAGTACTTTATAACTCTTTATGTTCTAAATCTGATAAAATAAATTCTTAAATTACTCATATGAGCAGTTCCGAACCATGAACTTACAGAAGTATCTCAGCTGTTTGTTTTGAATTGTTAATAGTGTTGGGGGAAGTCGGGTTTTAAAAAAATGTCTTTCATCCATTTGGAAGGGTTTTTTATTTTTAAGAAAGTAGCTGTGGCACCTTTAAGACAAACATGTTTTATTTGGCATAAGCATTCATGGACTGCAGCCCACTTCTTCAGGTGTAAGAAGTCCATCAGAAGAAGTGGCATATTCAGATGCATCTTCAGACAGGACTCTGAGGCTGTTATATTCTCTCATGCTCCATAAATCCCCAAGTTCACTAACATATTAGATGCTTCATGGAGTTGTAGCTGTCTGGATAGCTCTGTGATTCGGAGTACCTTTCTACAGAGCAGTAGAGAGCAACAGGAAAGGAGGAACACCAAATGTAAGATGAATTGGCTTAAAAAGGTAGCCTCGTGGCGTAGTGGTTAAACTGCTGTACTGCAGCCAAAACTGTGCTCACGCCCTGGGGTTCAATCCCAGGTAGCCGGCTCAAGGTTGACTCAGCCTTCTGTCCTTCCAAGTTCGGTAAAATGAGTATTCAGCTTGCTGGGGGGGGGGCAATGTGTAGCCTGCATAATTAACTTGTAAACCGCCCAGAGAGTGCTTGAAGCACTATGGGGCAGTATATAAGCACCACGCTTTGCTTTAATATATCCACTGCCTTGAGTTTGCAAGAGCTGAGTAAAGATTTTAATGATAGGACCTTTGAGAGGTCATTAATTCACAGTGTTGTCACCAACTAGAAGCAAGGTGACAGCATTAAACAGCAGCAGCACTGGAGCCAGTGGCTTCAGCTTTCTTTGACCTCACTCAGTGCCTTCAGTTAATGTGTACAGGGTATTTGTGAATAGCCTCAATCTTGGAGTGATCTGCTTTTTTAAAAAAAAATCTAACAGTTAGCTTAACTACCGTACATTCTTCTCCTTTATTTTTAGATCCTGATCCAGAAGTATGTCTTCATGTTCTGCGACTTCTCCAGTCTGTGATTTTGGAGCCAGAGGTTTTAACCAAGTCAGTTGCTGAAATGCGTGACTCCTTGCCGTTTCCACGTATCCATATGCTGTCAAGGAGCCGCAATAAAGATCTACAAATTTTGGCCCAAGAACTGCTTGATGACCTCCGAGTTTTAGAGCATGAAATGTAAAGATATATTTATGACGTCAACTTTTCAAGCCTTTTTTCAGTGTTGTAATTTGCAGAATGCTATACATACATTCTGAAAAATCTAAGTTTTGTAATTAGATGTGTGTGGTTATTCTGATTTTCTTGTGCAAGCCAAATTAATGCCATCACAGCCACAAAAAGCACACTTCATGAGCTTCAGGCTAGCCATGTACAAAACCTTCTCTAAGAATAAGCATACATTTTGAAAAAAATTACAAATTGGTATGTACAGAAAACTGATTATAACAAAGATGTGTATAACAACTGTTTCTGTTCTGCTGCATATCAATAGCTCTTTAGAAGCAAAGTCATATATCTTTATGTGGAAATCATCTTCACAGCTTAGCCACATCAACCCTCTTTCTACTCTAGTGATATCAGATTGAATGGCCACAATATTTTTTCTTTTGACATTGCCATCTTCATCAACAACATAACTTTAAAAAAATCTAATAAAGGAAGACTCTGACAACTTTGTACATGTTCTTTGTCCTATCTTGAGAAAATATTAGTGAGGCAGCCTCCGGGTTTGAATTAGCCCTGGCCAAGGCAGCATTTGCTTTCCTCACATATTATTAATGGGTTGAATTGTCTTTTTCAAGGGGCCAGCCAGAGAACTTACGCTGTTACTGCAGTTGTGTTTCTCCTTGGTTGCTGCTGTCAGCTGCAGCATTTACAAAGAAGCTTATGGAGTGGCTCCTCCAGGCTGCTATCTGCATTACTCTGAGCACAAGTTAGGGCAAGCAGCAACAGCAGAGAAATAGCTTCACCTGCAGCACTCTGAATTATCTAGTACACTCAAAGGAGCATAGGCGTAAGCATTTCTTCTCTATTACTGACCTGGTCAGGTACAGTGATCCTATCACACCTTCTTCCTCCTAATTCTCTTCAGTGTCTTTGACACAACTCCCGAACATACACATTGGTGCGGTAGCATCTAGAGACATCAAGGAAAAAATGCCTCACCCTGTTTGTGTACAACATGAGGAAAATAAAATAAACAAAAAGGGACTTGTATTATTTCTTGTAGGTCCTAGCATTTCCTGGGACTGGTTATCAGCAGGTTAAAGAGAGAGACTCTGTATACATGATGGTCTATGCTGCTTGAATGAGCAGAGGTCTCCCAACCTTCTCTCTCGCTAAACCTGCTGTAATCCATCTTCCAGTATCATACCTTGTGTAGTTATAGTTCAGTTTTTTCCTGGGAAAAGTTTCTGCCTTCTTAATTAGCATCTTTTCGTTCATATGCTTCCCTGTTTGCTCTCCTATTTCCCTTTGCTGCATGAAGTCTAACAACCTCCTTATAATAGCCCTCTTAGCTTTAGAAATGTCAACTCTGCTGATACAAACGATGGCTGTTAAAGAGATTCATTGATGGGAACATGCATTAATTATACCATTAAACTAGTGCCACTCTTCATGTACTTGTCTTTTAAAGTGAAGACATACTGTACATCTGTAGAGGGAAGAGGACAAGTTATAACAGGGAACAAAATCGAGGTATCAGAATATGCCCTGTGCTCTTCCATCCTGCAACATTTCTAAGATGAGAACTTCTAATGTGCTCTATAGTAGCTCATCCTAGAACAGAGGTCCCCAACCCCTGTTCCATGGCCTGTTGCCGGTCCGTGGCCTGAGCTGGACTGGACTGCGGAGACAGACCTCCCGCCCCCCTGCACTCACCCCTGCACAGCTGATTTGCGCATGTGAGCGTGCTCCTGCACACCCCTGCGAGCACCATGCCAGCGTTTGCACACATGCATGCCTGCACAAGTGCTGGTGTTTGTGCATATTTATGCATGCGCACAAGCGCGGGGGTGCCCCACCTTCCCCAGCTGATCCATGGGGTGAAAAAGGTTGGGGACCCCTGTCCAAGAAGATATGCATATAGTTTCATTTTGATTCTGCTAATGTTTCACTCACTTTTGGGATCACCTCTGGCGTTAAACATTTGAAATTCTGTTTTTTTCCTGAGATGGGTTATCTGAAACTCAGCAACAATTATGAAAGATGCAGATCTGGTGCAGATGTGCTTAAGTTATTTGTGCTTTTACATGTTTTTAATGGAAAGAGTTAACATACAACTCTTGATTTATAAAAATGTACTGTTAGTATTGTGCATATTGTTACTACATATTTTAATACTTTCTCTCTACCCCATCCACAAACAGTGTGCTATCATACATCTGGAGTGAATAATTAATAGAGTGAATAAAACTGTCTAGTTACAAACAAGGTATATTTGTCTTTGAATGCTTCAAATTATTTAAATGCAGTATTTATTAAACCCTTTGTTTCTGGAAATGGTGTCATTGATTGTAGAATGCAACAATTATTTTTTCTTGCTGTTTAATTTTTATTTGTCTTCATCGTCCCTCTCTTTTTCGGTACACACGTACAACAATCAGTTAAAAGAGTAATGAGGATGAAGAGTAATTGAAAAATGCATATTCCAGTTGAAACAGCACGTTGAGTGATTGCCAACAAGTAGATTTAGCATGTGACTGGATAGATAAGATGTCCTGGGTAGGGTTGAGCTCAGTTGGGGTGATTGGGCTATGATAGTAGCATTTAGGTAGATATTTCTGTTCACAGATAAATATTACTTACTCTGGGTAGTTTCAAGGCAAGAGACCACACCCACCTCAAATTGCTGCACTATGCACCCTCGTCTAATTTATACTGCCTTCTTCCCCACCTCTTTCTTTTATGCTCTTAATAGATCACTCACCCCGATGACCCTTCTCAGGAGTGCCCCATGTTGTCACCCACACTTTCCCTTCCCTGCTACTATCTCTCTCAAAGTGGCAGTTCAGGGCCAGATGTAAACTCATGAATACATACTTACCTGTCTCCACCCATATGGAGACAATTCCTTTCAGCTATTATACTGCTTCCTTGGGAGAGAAGCAAAGGGGAACTGACCAGCTTGGGCAATGGCATATTGAGAAAGGCAAAGAGACCCATCCAGGAGGCTCCAGTTCTGCATAGTCACCCCATCTACACCTTTGGTGTTAAACAAGGGTTAATCTGCCCAGATTGGAAAAGGTAAACAACTGGAATTATCCTAAACTTGCAGTATAGCACTCCTTAAGAAGAACCTCAGCTCTGCTCAGGTGTCGTATCTGAAGGCGTGAGTTTTATACTGCAATACTACACCTTGCTGAGTATGTCAGTCTATGTCACTCTAGGGCACATCCTCTGCTGCGGATGTGGAACAATATAGGTGATCATATGGAAACCAAAATGAATCATTATAATCCCAATCACTCCATAACAACAGTAGTCCCTGGCAGTGAACTGGAAAGGTCTGAATGGCCATGGAAAGAAGTTGGGTTGGTTCATGATTCACTATGTTGTAGAGTGGTCAGAAAATACATTGAACTTCACCATCCCGAAAGCACTCCAAAATGGGGGATAAACAGCAATGCAGTCACACACTTATCTGCTCATGGTCACCTCATCTTGCCACGTAAAACTTCTTGCAGGACCACTCTTAAGGTATTTTTGCCTAGGTCATCCCTTTCTTGAACACCAAGTCGCCCACTATTTTTTCAGGACTCTTGTTTTTCAGTGTGTATTGTCTCTTCAGCTGGGGCTTATTTTTGGGGTAGGACTTATATTACAAGCATCCTGAGAAATCATACTAAGGCTTATTTTCAGGGTAGATCTTATTTTCAAGGCAACAGGGTAGCTAGTTCTTCAGTAGTGGAAGACCAAAAAGAGCAGATATTTCATAAGCAACACCCAGCCACCTCACTGTTTCTGTCTACAAGATCACATGTAAAGATTTGCAATCAAAAGGTCATCTGGAAAAGCAGAGTTGTTGAAATGATGTCTCTGTACTCTCAAGAGAAGGCAAACTCCATGGGATACTGTCTGGAACAAAATCACAGTGAAATTCAGTGCTAAAATTACTTTAGGCATGGTAAAGATAACAATCTAGTTATCAGTCTTATATAGAACATCTTTACTGGGAAATTTTTAAGTTACTCAATACAGCATTCAGATGTGGATGAAACCATTTAAGGGGACATTTACTTATTTTTAACGTTGAAGCTAAATTTGATCACAAAGGTTCTGCATATTCTAATATATTCTAATGCAGGAGGGATGATACTAAAGAGTAAGAATGGCAATCTTGATATGGGGCTGGCAGAGGCAAACCCAAACCCCCTCTGCATACCATCTTATATTAATTTTTTCCTCCAAAAACATATTAGGGCTACATCTTTTCTTTCTTTCTTTCTTTCTTTCTTTCTTTCTTTCTTTCTTCCTTCCTTCCTTCCTTCCTTCCTTCCTTCCTTCCTTCCTTCCTTCCTTCCTTCCTTCCTTTTGTTCCCCCTCCACCACCTGCTTAGATTGCCTTAGAGCAAAGGAATTGCTCTTGCAGGGGCCTTTGTACATGCAAAGAGACACAGGCAAATTCTTGGGTCTTAAGATAAGGGTTTCCCCAACATATGCCAGCTGTCTTTTGCCTGTTGTAGACTGGGCATTTAACTGAGCATACTCAGACCCCTTTTTAAAAAACTTTCTGGTGATGCAAACATTCAACCTGTAAGCAACTTAGCATCTAGTGCTCTTAGATGGGTGACAATACCAAGAGCCATTCCATTCTTAAATTAAGTTCCAAGTTACAATGATATCTACTATCTTTCTACATAGAAGAAGATTGGCATTTGAAGTAACAGGTGTCCTAATTGCACTTCAAGAGACAAGTGTGTTGGCAACCTCATATGCAAACATCATCTGGAATGCTGACCGTTTTTTGACAAGGTTGACCTTTGGCTGACATCTAGGGTTTCAAGTTCTGCATACATTTGGTTGCAAGTGCACAAAGGTCAGAATGCTACTCATTGCAATTGTATATATTTTATGGTTCTTACACGAAGAAGTCACAAATAATAAATAGCCACATTCTAGCAAATCAGTTCTGATTTACGGCAACCCTTTCTAGGGTTTCTCAGCTCTGGAGTACAGAGAAGTGGGAGTAGACACCTGCAGCGTCAGGGGTCAGGAATTAAGTTCTCCACTGTGCTTCTTGGAAGAACAGCCAGCCTGGGTAGCCTCGGGCAAGCTGTGCACCCCCAGGGTGCCCCCAGAAAAAGGGAATGGTCAACTGTTACTAAGTATACCTAGAAATCTCTGGCAAAGGTCACCATGATTTGGAACTAATTTGACAAAACATTGTTATGTAACCTGCTCACTTTTTTTTATTTATTACTAGTTTGGGTGGGTTTGATAAAGGTGAACATTTGCTCATCCTTCTTCAACAATGAAAAAGAAGAACTATCTGACAGCCTAGGGGACGTGGTGGTGCTGCGGGTTAAACCGCAAAAGCCTCTGTGCTGCAAGGTCGGAGGGCCAGCAGTCGCAAGATCTAATCCATGCAACGGACTGAGCTCCCGTCGCTTGTCCCAGCTCCTGCCAACCTAGCAGTTCTAAATCATGCAAATACAAGTAGATAAATAGGTATCACCTCGATGGGAAGGTAACGGCATTCCGTGCCTAGTCACGCTGGCCATGTGACCACGGAAGATTGTCTTCGGGCAAATGCTAGCTCTGTGGCTTGGAGACAGAGATGAGCACCATGTCCTAGAGTCGGACACAACTGGACTAAATGTCAAGGGGAACCTTTACCTTTATCTGACAGCCAGTCCAGCTCTCCTCTGAAATACCAGATTTCTGGGAATTTAAAAATAATAGGAGGAGGCCCATTTCTGTTTTAGTTGAGTATCTGCTTGCTAGGCTGCATTTTTTGGTTGCTGCCCCAACTGCAGAACATTGCTGATGGGGTAACTAGACTGTTGAACACCAATGTTCACTTGGGCACCACCCTTGTTGTTTTTTGGGCCCATTTAAGATCCTCCCATCTTGTTTTTAATTTGCTGATTTTGTTCCTAGTTTCTATTGCTTCTCACTCTTTTTTAAAACTAGCACTGCACTTTTGTTGATTTGGGCTTATAAAAAAAGGCTTTTAAAACTGGAGATAGGTGAGTGTGACTTTCATTGTGTTTTTAAAGGGTTTTAAAATTTGTGTTAATTCTTATGATTACTTATTCAATTACTCACTCCAGTACTGTAATTTATTTTGCTTTTCAATTCTGTTGGAAATCCTATTGCATTTTTATGTGGACATAATGCAATCAGCATAAATCCGATTCATGCAAATTGTTGCAAGTTAAGAAGTCAGTGCAGGCATTTGCTCTTGTGCTCTGAGTCACATGATTTGGCATGCCACTGCGAAGACATACTATTTGCTGACTCCTCAACTTCTAGCAATTTGCCATCAAGGTTAACTCTGATTATGTTATGCTGGTGGTGAGCATAACAAATAGAAGTTTGGCCTGTGAAAGAAACAAACAAATTAAAGCAAGCAAGCAAGCACAATCCCACAATGAAGCATTGGTCCAAAGCTAACGAGGCACTTGTGTTGCAGTTCCAGAATGTCAGAACCTTTTCTCTGCCCCTCCTCACTGCAGTCCTTGGAACTACCTTCCTACCCCCCAAACAAAAATACCCCCCACCATCAAATCTTCACAGCAGTTTTTTGTTTATGCAAGACTGCAGTGGAAAGATTTGCTTATCCCTTCTTGCTTTTTTGGTGTTCCTTCCAACAGGAATCCAGTTTGGGATTATGCCCTGAACTTGGTACCATCCTCTGCAGAGTATCCAGCTTGCATTTTGGCTTCTGGAAACTGGGAATAATGCAACAATATTTCTGACCATTTCATACCTGCTTTTATGTATGCGTTTTAGTTGGGTGTGATCACACAAAATGGAACAATTAGATGAGGTAGGATTCCCTGTTCTGTAGGCCACATGTTATTCAGATTATAACGTGTGGATGAATGTGCGCCCTTTAAATATTACATTCCTGTAAGCGATCATGTTGGCCTATATACTGGTTTGACTTGAGCTACTTTGAGCAACAAAGAAACTGCTTGTACAGGAGATCCATTCAGTGGCAGTCAGATACGAACAAAAGACTGGTGAGCTTGAAGTTTTAAAGTAGACACCCTATTATAGGAGGGATTTTGGTAGCCATGGTGATTCATCCCATGGGTGCTTTGAAGTGCTTGGGAGCAGTCTGCTCTGCTGAGCAAAACTTCGCAG